ATTCCTTCCTTCCCTTTTTTTTTTTTTTTTTCTTTTTTCCCTGAGGAAACAGGCCTGGTAATGGCCAAGCAGGATGTTGGGAGTAGCATGGTTGAGAGAGGAGAGGAGGCTGTGGTGCAGGGTTTAGAAGACGTCCACACACAGAAATCGGAAGTGAATGAAGGGTGAGAATCCGAAGTAAAGGAAAGGAGGTGATCGCTAATGGAATAGAGGAGGAGTTGGCCGGCTGAGCCAACAGTTAGGGCTTCCTCTTACCTGTTGATCTGCAAACATTTGAAGCCAGTGTTGGTTTATGGTCTTGAGACGTGGGTTAAATTTTGGACAATAGCAGCAGAAAAGTGCTTAAATATATTTTTAATACTAATGCCCATTACAAGGACAAATTATTGGAGAAAGGAACTGTGTGGCCTTGATAAGAGATTTGCCCGTTTTAATTTCCTTGCCTTGCAGAGGGATATAAATATCTGGTAACTCAGTTTGAAAGCACGTTTTTAAAAATAACTTCTTTCATCATTATTTTTAGTTGTATATATTTGGAGACCCCATTAGTTACTAGAAATAACAACTCTTGTGAATGAGTCCTTGTTATAGTCAGGTGAGTATGTGAAAACTGCATTTCAGGTCTTCAGCGTCCATCTGCTTTCTGTTGAACTCGACAGCACTTGTCACCTCTTTCACAGCATGGCAGCACGCGTTGAATGCTTGTTTCCAGCCCGTTCTTAAACCTGGGCTGTTTGACAGTTGCAGGAAAGGTGGACTCTGATGTTGGAGTATGTGCTAAGTGCAAAGGCCACGTCAGGTGCTTTCTTTTCGCAGGTACCCCACTTAACCTCACCAGTAATCCTACGAGGAAACCATTACTTCCACCCTTTTACAGAGGGGTTAGTGGTGGGTTAAGCTAGCTTGCTCAAATCCGCATTATTAGTAAGTGGTGAAGTCAGAATTCAAACCCAGGTTTCCTGACTCTGGAGTCTAATGCTTGTTTCCTGATGCTGTATTTTAAGTCTTAGCTAAGTAGGCACAACCTGATAATACAAGTAGGCCACCTGGGTGGAAAGACTTGTTTAGCAGAGTAGAGAGAAGAATTTTAGGTGAGTGTTGGATACAAAAGCTGGAGTTTGTTACTGAACTCTTAGGTGGTTAGGTAACTTGTAATAGAGGTCAGCTCCCATTGGAACAAAATGCAAAACCTCTTTAACAAAGGTTCTAAGCCCTGGCGCATGGCCTGCATTTCTGAAGCAGAATTCTAGTAGCGTAAAAGGATATCGATCACCTGCCCCCCTCCCACTTGGAATTTGTTACCATAAGAAAATGTGTTACAGTAACATTTGGAGCTGTTGAGCTGTTCTCTTGACAGTGCAGGAACTTTTATGCACAGCTGTTGCCTGCCTTGAGAGTGAGGGTTGGTTAAGTGACTTCCCCAGGGCCACACACTGAGTCAGGAATGAACTCAAAGGCCCCCATGTCCAGTCCAGTCCAGTCAAAACTGGTGACTCCTTGGTAACACCTTTGGAGCCCCTGAAACTTGATTCCAGACACGAGTCGGGTATGAGTCACTGGTATACACCATGGAGAACAACTATTGGGGGAAGTGAGGTTCCTTGGTTAGGTCGGTGGACCACAGGGTGATGTTGTCTGTCACCATGGATCAGGCTTCACTGAGCAGGACTCATCAGCCAGCTTCCCAGAACCTGCCCATCTCTCGCTAGCTACCTCTAGGGATCCCAAGCCAAGATCCCAAGCAAGAGGAGCAGAGTTTCCTCTTGTTCTATCCCCAGTGGCTCTCAAATGTGGTCTGTGCCCCAGCAGCATCCTCATCACCTGGGAACTTGTTAGAATTGCCAATTCTTGGGCCCGTCCAAGACCAACTGAATTGAAAACTCTGGGAGTAGGGTCTAGCCGTCTGTGTTTTATTTAACAAGCACTCCTGGTCATTCGGATATGTGCTCACGTTTGAGAACTGCTGCTCTAACCAGTACACCTAGAATGGAAGAATTGAGGACTTTCCGTTCTTACTCCAACTTGTCTCATTAACTGTGAGACTTCCAGCACCCCTCTGATTTGCCACGTAAGCCTCAGTTTCCACAGCAGGAAAACAAGGAGTTTGCATTACTTCCTAGGTTCCCAGAGTATATCATTCCAAGTCGCAAAGTTAGTCGTCAAACCTTTCCTAAAATACAAATAAGCATGTGACTTCCCCCCTCCCCCACCCCCAAAACTTGCCAGGTTTCTACCCGGGTATTCCCCTTTGTGGTTTCCTTTCTACTTGGCAGTTGGTATAAGTTTTGATGCCAGGCATGCGGAAGGTCATTTGGGGGGAAAAAAACTTAGGCACACACATGTATACACAACAGAAAATGATCAGCTTATTCAACCTAGTGACAATGGCATCTGGGACTTGAGCCCTTAATAATAGCAACTTTTTTTTTTTTTTTAAGTTTTGATTTATTTATTTTGAGAAAGAGAGCGCCCAAGCAGTGGAGAGGCAGAGAGAGAGGGAGAGCGGGAATCCCAAGCAGGCTTCCGCACTGTCAGGACAGAGCCTGACTCGGGGCTCAATCGCAGGAACCCTGAGATCATGACCTGAGCTGAAATCAAGACTTGGACCCTTAACCGACCCAGCCACCCAGGCACCTCAATAATAGCAACTTTTAAACAAACCTTTCCTAGTGGCTTAGGAGGGTCACAACGTGGGTGAATTTTTGGTATTTGTCTCAAATCTCACCTCATTGTTTGTTAATTCGGGACACCTGTACCATATGCCTACTACATGCCAGATGCAAACCAGACCCACCTATGAACTGAACTGAATATACAGGCCAGAGTCCCAAGAGGGTCCTAGTCTCTGGAGTTCCAGACTAGCCTGTCGCTGGCCCATGCACACACCCCCTGATTCTTGATTAAATTTCAGTCTTGCTACCGTAGTATCATTTTCCATCCTGTGATCTGGGGGAGGCGTCCGCAGGGCTGCAGCTATGGGGTGTGCATTCCTCATCTGTTCATCCGGGAAAACCCTCAGCAGACGTGGAGGGGGGGCCACTCCAGCTGCCTCAGTGGAGCCCTGGCCTCTTCTCTCTAAGGGGGTCTTCAGGGAAGAGTGCAGAGGGAGGATCCAGGTCTGTTGTGCAGGAGCCTGCATCCTGGGGCCTTGTGAGCTCCTGTGGTCCCCTCTGTTCTAGGCCTGGTGCATGGAGCCATGATGCCACAGTGTGCGCTGATACCCAGGCTTGGTGGGGGTTGGGGGCAGGGCAGTACCAAACCAATCTTGGGACCTCCTGAGCTGATTCCTCTCTCCTGAGTGAGACTTGCATGTGTATTTGAACCCTAGCATCCTGTCCATTAAATGAAAGAGGCAGAAGTTTGTTTCATTACAGTGCCAGGGCTCTGATTAATTACCCCTTCTGAAAAAAAGTTTGCTACACCTAGAACTTCCTTGACACTGGTCCCAGCTGTCACCCTGCCAGCAGTTTCAAGTTCTGTTTAAACATTTAAACCGCTGGCTGGAAATCCCATCAACCACAGTGCTGTGTAAACGGCATGTGCCCTTGTGGGAGTATCTTTAGACTCTTGGTACTTGTATCGCTTTCCCTGGTGGAGGTGATGAGCAGCCCTTAGCACAATGAGATGTTTGCAAAAGCACCTTGTAAACTGTAAAGTGTTATAAAAGCATTAGTCATCTGTAACGAGATTGTGAGAAAGAGTGAAAGTCTGCCCTCACTGTTTCCCTCAAACTCCCTCCTTCAGTCTTTAGATCTGTAGTGCTGTGATGAATAAATATGAGGGAATGATTCATTCTACATAGCAGGCCAGAGAATTGATTAGGTGGTTGATCCCCCTATTAATTGGAGTAGCAAATATCCAAGGAGGAGCATATCTGGATAGATAATTGATTTCAGTGTTGAGTATGTGGACTATGAAATAACTATTGGATTTTTTAGGTGAGAGGTACTTGGTAGACAGATGCCAGCCTAGGACTGCAACTCAGAAAAGGAGTCATGATCTAGGTACAGGTTGAAGCCCTAGGAGCAGTTGAGGTCATTTGGGAAGATTATGAGACAAAAAGAAGATTGAGGAAGGAATTGAGTTCTTAGCCTTGGTTTTGTATCAAGATCAACTGTGGAGCTTTTCAAAAAGAAAGCTGCCTAGCACCACCCTGCCCCCCAGATCTTCTGACTCAGAATCTCTGGGATGGGGTCCAAATAGGTAGATTCTGGTGTGCACCCAAGATTGAGGATCGTTGGTGTCTAAAGAATGGGCAGAGGAGGGGGAACCAGTAAAAGAGATGGGAGGTAAGTCAGAGGATGTGGATGAGGACAATGCAGTATCACAGAAAACAGGAAAGGAAAGGATTTAGACCAAAAGAGGCCACTAGAATTGGTCAGTAGGAGGTCACTGGTGACCATAGGGGAGGTATTTGAAGGCAGTGGTTGAGTTCTAAGGCCGTCCCTAGGGCTTGTGGTTCCTTGTGTCCTGCAGTTGCTCAGTTACTATCACCTTCTTCCCTTCGAGTCTGATAACGTGTAGCTCAGTGGTGTGATGAATTGTCCTGTGTTTCTTTCAGATCAAGTGTTCCCTCCCATGTGCAACATAGGGAAGAATTTTCTCTCGCTCAATTACCTTGCTGAGTACCTTCAGCCCAAAGCAGCGGAGGGTTGTGTGATATCCAGCCAGCCCCAGGATAAGGAAGTACACATCATTGAGTTAATTACCCCCAGCTCTAACCCCTACAGGTGAGTGTGTGTGTGTGTGTGTGTGGGCGGGCGTGCGCTGAACTGAAAAGAAATGAAAATAAAGATATATGCTGACTTGAGGCAGAGACAGTACAACCCTACTTGTGTAGGAGGGAGGGAGCTGTTCATGCGTTGGGTGAATCAACAGAAGTTTTGAAGAAGGGAGTGAAGGCACCAGTGGTATATTTTATTTTCGGCATCTGTCTCTAGATCCCCTATATTCTAGGTGAGTTTCTGAAGCCTATTTTGAACTTTCAGGCACTAATTAATTACAGTACAAAATAATTCTTGCCCCATTGTTATCTCCTTTGACTGAGGTTATTCCTGATAAAAAGTTATAAAATATGCCTGTTAACATAATTATAATTTTAATCACATTCTGTTTTTAATAAAATTCCATTCATAGCGTCCTCAGAGCACATTTGCATTCAGAGCTGTGTGTGCTATGAAGGTGTGTGTGCATCAGGGGTGGGGGAGTGAGTGTGGGTGTGTTGGCGCATGGCCCTCCGTGGCGACACACCAAAGAGCCATTAGATACAACCTGCCTCTCGCTTACGTTCTTTTTCTCCATCTCCCACCCTCAGCTTCCTGCCCCAGGACTAGCAATTTAACCCTCCCTATCAAGAATGATTAGGGAATTAAAAGGGATAAAAGAGGAAAAGTGCCTCTTTCTTCTACTCGAGTCTGCATTCCTGTGGACCACTGCCTTAAATTTATATTGTAGAGGGATTTCAGAATTAAAATTCTAATCAAATTTTGCTTTCAAAGGTGAATAAACTACACCTCAGTTTGGGGAAGATTCCATTCTGTCCCACATGAAGAATTTTGTGGAAAATTAAAAGAGAATGGGAATAGAATCAATCTGGCAAACATGCTTAGATATTAAGCCTCAGGCTTCATTTGAGTGTATCATTCATCATGTGCTTCACAAGTGTGTAAAACCAAATGGAAAGAAAGACTTTCCTTTAAATTCAGAATGACAGAGATGTTACTGTTTGGTTAAAAAAAATTCTCCTGTATACCGAATTCTTAGAAGTTTGGGTTGTCTTCATCAATTTTCCAGTAATCAGTTGGTTGACCATCTGTTTTCTTTATTTTAATAACTGTATATCCAGAAGTTTGGGAAAGTGAGTGCAGATATGATTCTGTAGCAAATGTTAATGGCTTATGCAAACCTTCTATAAGTCAAGTTCTCCAGCCTTTCGCCTCTTATTTCATCTTAAGTGTCCTAGTTTTTTTGTTGTTGTTGTTTTTGTTGTTGTTTTTTTCTGTTTCGGGGGTTTGTTTTGTTTTTTTTACTACCAGGCATCCCTCCTCCCTGCCACCTTCCAGGATTTTGAGCATATGCAAATTGGAAAGTTACACACTGAAGGTGTTGAAGGTTGAAAAGCAACAATTCTGCTTTAAAAGTAAATTCCTGGTTGCCCAGATCCATTTCAAACAGTGGCTGCCTTAAGTAACTGTCTTTTTTATTCCCCCCAAAGAAGGAGAAAAATTTTAGTGTCTAATTATCAGCAGGCGTATTTTTCTATTGTTATGTAAAACTATTTTGTTTTGTGTGCACTAACAATCTGTTTTGCACATGTCATTTGCCTGGGATCAACTCCAGCTTTTTAATCAACTGGCCAGACACTGGAAACATGAAGACTTGGAAGAGAGGAGATAGTTGCAACTCTCTGGCATTTGGGTTCTAACTTTGCCTTTGTTTTCCATTCACAGTGCTTTCCAGGTGGATATAATAATTGACATAAGACCTTCTCGAAAGGATCTTGAGGTGGTCAAAAATCTCATCCTGATCTTGAAGTGCAAAAAGTCTGTCAACTGGGTGATCAAATCTTTTGATGTTAAGGGAAACCTGAGAGTTGTTGTAAGTTTGCTGAGCATTTCTTTGTTTTGATGCATGGCAACAATTTAAGCTGTGCTTGTATGTGTTATTTTTGTGACATTTTTGCTTTATATGTATTATTTTTGTGAAGTTTCTGCTTCTCTGAGCTCTCTGTGATTTTTCACTTTATAAAATAGGCTGCTCCATGGTTTCTCCTGACAAGGGCAGACAGTGTGGTGGCTAAAAGCATGGCCTCTGGGGTCAAGATCAAGATTTGAGTCCAGACTGCCATTTACAAACTGTGACCTTGGGCAAGTCCCTTAACCTCTTTAGACCCCAGTCGCCTCATTTGTGAAATTCCTGAAATGTATGAGTGTGCTTTCCAGTCAGAGTAACTGTAAAATAATGAGCACAATGGGGCCTTTCATGGTTGACAGTCCTGTAATGGCCTCATTGTCATGGTACTGAATATCAGCTCTTAATTTGGGGTTAGGTATTTAGGGAAGGTGTGGAAAATTGGGCTGACCCCAGCTCACACTGTTGTCTTTTCTTTTAGAGATAAATACATGGTATTGGCATGCCTTTTTGCTTGCTTCTAACTTCTGAGGGTGAAACACTGATGCTAGAATCACAGTAATGGGGTGGTTAGTGAAATAATATGGGAAAAGTACCCCCAGCCTACTCCCTAACTAAACATTACTTCCATGAAGGAGATAGGCTTAAGAAGTTTATTAGTTGGCTGGCATGATAGGCAGCTAGTTTCCTAAAAAATTAAATGTTGAAATTTGGTAAAATAAATCTTTTTCAAATATGTTTACGGCATTAACTGTGTGACAGCATGTTGCACAAATTACAAGAAAGTTCAAGAAAACCCCCCCTCGTCACTTTTAAGAAGATAATTACCTTAGCATCTCTTTTGTAGGCTCAAATTTTTGTGTATTGCCTTTTTAAAAAGTTGTGTCTGATTCCCTCTTTCAGTACCTGCATTGAAGCAATTGGAGAGGGTTTTATGTTTTCCCCATTTTGGGGGAGGGATGCCTCTGGTTTTGGTGCTGTTCATTCATGGCACCTTTAGCGTGATATAACAGTGGACAAAGCCAGTGCTCCGCTGGGGCTACCTCATGTATAAGCACTCACCAGAAGCAGCAGGCAAAGCCACAAGCATACACATCTTAATTTTAAAGTACTGTAATTGTTTCTGGTTCCTGTGGGTTTTTTGTTTTTGTTTTTTTTTTTGATTGTGAGAGGATCCAAATAAGCCATCCTGTGTGAGGGCGATACATTAATTTGGTGTCGAGAACAAAGCCCAGCCGCAGTTCTCTGAAGTCAGAGCTGTTTCAGTTGCTTTCCCTGGCTTGGCCAGAGGGGTGTTGGTGACCTGGGATGTCTGCAGCGTTTGCTGCCTGGCACACCAACCAAATGTTTTTAATTTCAGAATAACAAAAACAGGAAAGGGAATTATGCTTTGAAAGGCAAAAAACATACGGTACATTTTAATTCCCTGCTGGAGTTGTGTAAATGTTCTTTCGGCCCTGACCCTTCAGTGGCTCTTTCTGTACCTGAGCATGTATGTGTTCCTGGTCCATGGCAGTCCTGGAGTTCACTTTGAATGTCTTCACTTTTCATATGAGTAAGACAGACTAGAAATGAGATTGCTCATCCCAGGGCAAGATCTGTTTATATTCCTCTCTTTGGCTGTACTCCTGTTCCCGGCCAATTTTGGACAATGCATGACAACATTACTAAACAATTAGGTAATGTTTCATGATGTTCTTTTTTATTCTCCCAATCAGTTTCATGCTTTTTGATTTCCTAACTCCCAGTCTCAGATGTGAGTTCTGACTATGCTCTGAAGGAAAGGTACCTGCTATTAAAAAAGTATACATTCATGCTTAGAAAAGGGAAATGGTTCATAGTGGCCTTGTTTGTAGTATCTTCTTTAGAGACAGCCTGGTAGACAGGCTGTGTGCACAGGGTGAGTTCTCAGCCACGTGTGCTACTTAACTTCTGAGTGAGGGGCAGAGAGAGAGAAAGAGAGAGAGGGAGAGAGAAGGAGCAAGAGAGAAGTAGGACTCACCCAAAGCAGGACTCGAGCTCACTGGATGTGGGGCTCAAGCTCATGAACTGTGAGATCATGACCTGAGCTGAAGTCAGATGCTTACCTGACTGAGCCACCCAGGTACCCTCCTTATATTTTAGAGGAGAACTAAATAACATATGTAAGTCTTCTAGCATAGTGCCTGCCATAAAAAGGGAATTTATCTTCCTTCCACAGGAAACTTTTCAAAAGTTTGTCTATAGGAGCAATTAACTTCTCTAAACAAAGTGAAAACAAAATGTCTGCTGAAGAAATTATAAGGCACTTGATTGGGTAAATGTAAAGAAAAGTCCCATTAAACACAGATGGCATGTGGGTGCCTGTAGGGGGTGGGTGCACAGGCAGAGTGCACCCTCCAAGAGCCACAAAGGGCAGTACTGTGGACAAGAACTGGAATACTAGAACTGTCCTCATTACTGTGCCCAGCTCTGGGTTTTTCTTCAGGTCCCTTATGGACCGTGCATAATCACATTTTGGAGGAACCTCCAAAACAAAAGAATAGATGGAGGAAATATTTGGTTACACTATTTCAAATGGCCTCAGCCAGCTTATTCTTAGAGAAGACGTGTTTTAATCCCAGTGGGAATGGACTACATCTCTGACCAACCTCTCCCGTACCCCATCATTTCTGATGCAAGTGTGTGTTGGGCAGTGGAGGGGAAGGGGAAGAGGGAAGTGCTCAGACTCTACCTTGCTCATCATCCTTCATGAAGATGTGGCTGAAATATGGTGGTGGTATTTGGAGACCCCCTTGAACACTCCCATTTTTGGAGTAGCTACACCAAAGCCTTAGAAAAGCCTGGGGACTCCCTGTATCCCGAAATAGAGGGTGAGGAATTTGCTCATTGCTGGGAAGGAACCAATTTGCCAAGACTTGCTGTTTTACAAACGTGTAGATAGATTTCTAGCCTTGTAAGTCCTGAGGCGTAATCAATATGAGTTGTACTGACAGCTCCTAGATTTAATGTGGAAAGGTGTAAACAAATCATTCCATATTGGTACAAAAAACACAGGTGGCGGTTGTGATGATAGTATTCTGGAAATACAGTATTTTCTCAGCTGTCCAACAACATGAAAGACTAGGGCAGATGAGGCCAAGCTGTGTTGTTTAGGCCAGTGTTACAACTCCCGCCAATCAAAACGACATGCTGCTTTAAAAGACTAGAAGAAGCTGCACCTAGGAAACTAAGTTTAAAGAACTACTTGGATCCTTCCTTACCTCATTTTATTTTAGTTTTTTTTTTTTTTTAACCCTTCCTTCCTCTAAGGAATTTTCTCTAAATCAGGGTAAGTGCTGGAATATTCCAAACCTGTCAAGCTGAGTTTTTCACAAATGGCTACAAAGCGTGGTTAAAGCTCTGTCTGGTTCCTTTGCATGCATTATTGTGACTGGCTGCTCTGGAAGTTTCAGATAATCACTTTGGGTCACAGAAAAAATATACTGGGGGAGATCCTTTAAGCTTTGAATTGAAAATATGTGTCCTTAGCCAATATCCCACCACCAAAGAGGCCAAGAGAACTTAGAGCCTGTGAATCTTCGATGGTTTTATAGTGGGAAAGGATTAATATTTAGTCATGTTCGGGGCACACAGAATGGGAAACAAATGGAGAATTCAGGAAAAAATGCTGCATGTATGCAGGAGAAAATAATTGGGCATGGAAATTAAAGTGATTTTTATACGGCGTGAAAATGGCCTAATCTTCATGCTGGAAGGGCTTTCCAGTCTTGTTGGAGCAGTTGTTGAAACTACGGTGCCTTCGCTTTGGGATCTCCTCTGCATCCGTCAGCTCCTTCACTGTCTGACAAGGTCACTGCTGTAGGAGCCAGAGGATGTGGAAACTTACCATATCCTGGTTACTCAGTCCTTTCTTGGAAGGATTCCTATCACTCAGTTCTAATTTTGTAATTAATTACCAAGTGAAAGTCAGCTTACTGGTATTGCTGGATAAAATATTGGCACTAAGAGGGACAGTAACCCAAATCAATTAATTAATTTTTGGAACATAAAATCGAAGCATATTCAGTTAATAAAATTGACAAATGAATACAATTACAGGATTGCTGAACTGGCCATAAATTATAACTGAAATCTCAACACTGGTTGTTCCACCATATGGAATTTAATAGTTTACAAAGATGAGATGGTCTCCACAGTGAAGTAACTGCATTGTGCCTTCTTTCATTTAAATCTAGAGTGCAGAAAATAGAAGCATGGACATATTTTTGGCAGTATAACATGCACATTTGTACACTTTAAACATCATTTTAAATAAAAATAAGGGAAAGTTTGATATATATATATAATTTAAACATTTTATATATATTATATATATATATATATTATATATATATAATTTAAACAGTTAACTAACTCTTGTAACCTAGTAGGTATACTCAGTATGTAGCTACTTATCGATTATTGGATTATTTTTATCAGCATAAGCAACCCAAATGGTAAGATCAAACAACATGAATAAATTTTTCTTAATCTGCTGTTAAAGATTTTCACATCAGTGTTCTTAGCCCAAGGAAAGTAGGGATCAAAAGAATAAATAGTTCTTTCATATACAATGTAGAATCTGTTCATTCTAGGTATTGAATTTGTACTTAAAGCACTGTTTAGTTTTAGACTCACGAGTGAAATTTTGCTGTTATCTTCAGGCTCCTAACAGTATTGGCTTTGGGAAAGAGAGTGAAAGATCCATGATAACAACCAAATCAGTAAGAGATGACATTCCTTCAACCCAAGAGAATCTGTTCAAGTGGGCTTCGGACAATGGCTATAGTCCAGTAACATCATATACAGTGGCTCCTGTGGCTAATAGATTCCATCTTCGGCTTGAAAACAGTGGTAAGTATGGATTTTTTTTTTTTTTTTCTGTAGTAAAAATATCCCCTAAATGAGACTCTCCAATGAGGAACTCTCATTACATCTCATATGATACTGTTTTTCTGTTGTAAATTTTGATGATTCATTTGACTGCATTTTACTATCAAGTTTAAGAGTATCTAGAATCATGATAGATTATTTTAAAGCAACGATCTTTGGTACTTTTGTACAGATTTTTCTGTACCAAATTCTTTTGGTACAGTTGATTGCATGGTGGAGAACTTTGTTGTAGATCACGTAATTCACTGTGATTACATTAAGAACAAATTAGCCTGGCTTCTTCTCTCAGAAGTGCCTGCTAATCACTGACAGCTGAGATGCAGAGCGGCTGGAACTACGGGGGAAAAGTCCTGGGTCAGACTGCATCTTACAGGACAGTAGTCACGAGGTGCTTCTTCTTCCTCACCCAGAGGGGACGCAGGAGTCATTACCCCAGTTGGATGGAGCAGAAAGTGGAATTTTAACAGGTTCTTGAGGTTTTGCCAAGCCTCTAACTAGTGAGACTCAAATCCAGAGTTTTCTGATCCCCAGACCTGTTCCTCACCCCCTGGTACTGCCACCAAGGACAGTGCCCATAGATTGAAGGTTAGGAATACGGGCCATTTGTTCACTGTTTGAGGGCAAGTTGCTTAATTTCTGAGCCTCAGGTGGTTCCTCCTCAGTAATATGGGAGAGCAAATAGGCCCTACCTCAAAGGGTTGTTGTGAAGGTTTTTGTCAACGTACAAATTTAAAACCCTCCAAAGCTCTGGCCTCTTTTGGACCCATACAGCTGTGCCGTCTGCCATCCTTTCCCGAAAGATAGTATTGAAGGAGAGTTAATGTCCCCAGTCATGTTCACTTCCTGCCCCCACTGAGATGGATTGACCTCAGGCGTTGACTTTGAGACTGGATGGATATAAACAATACTGGGGAAATGTCTCTTCCCTAAATTGTTGAAAATAGGACAGAACACTGAATATTGATTATATGGAAACAGGTCTTTCCCTTTGAAGGAATAAGTGTACCTAAGCAGCTTTTTCTTTTCTCCTTCAGGACTAGGCCAGGGTGCTCAAATGCCTGTTAGAATTTAGCAGGCAAAAAGGAGGTAGCAAATACTATTTCAAGAAATCCCTGAAGAATGTATTCTAAAGAATCTCTAGATTCAAGGGAAGTATTACAATGGCACTTGAAAATATTATTGTCCCAATAACTTATTCAAATCATGTATTTTTTTAAAGTTTATTTATTTATTTTGAGAGAGAGAGAGAGAGAGAGAGAGCAAGCTGGGGAGGGGCAAAGAGAGGGAGAAAGACAATCCACACTGTTAGCACAGAGCCTGACTTGGGGCTCGAACTCACAAACCATGACCTGAGCTGAAATCAAGAGTTAGATGCTTAACCCCCTGAGCCACCCAGGCGCTCCTCAAATAATGGATTTTTATATCTTACAGGGCCTTAGAAATTATCTAGTCCATGGTTCTCAACCTTGGCTGTATGTTGGAATCATACAGGGAGCTTTAAAACATATTAATGATTAGATACCTCTCCATAAAGTCTGATTTTAATTGACCTGGGGCACAGCCTGGGTATAGGGAATTTTTTTCAATCTCCCCAAATAATTTTAATATAGAGGACTAATGATCTAATCCAACCTCTTAATTTTAAAAATTAGAAAACTAAGACACAGAGAAGTAAGCCACTGGCCCAGAGACACTCAGTCAGTTAGAAAGAACACCAGGACTGGAATTCAGGTTTCCAGACTCCTTGTCTCCTTTACACATTGCTTGATAAGAGTAATTTTACACACACCCATTCTGTGCCAGTTCCTCTTGTACTTGCCTCTAATGATGATGACTGTGGCCTGGCATCAAACACTGACAATGTTGCCTTCTGTCACCACCAGAGGAAATGAGAGATGAGGAAGTCCATACCATCCCTCCTGAGCTACGGATCCTGCTGGACCCTGGCAGTCTGCCTGCCCTGGAGAACCCACCCATCCGGGGAGGGGGAGGCCGAAATGGAGGTTTCCCCTTTCCTATCCCTGATATCTCCAGGAGAGGCCAGATGGAAAGGGGAGAAGATGGGATCCCCCAGCCGAGGGACCCTATCGTCCCCAGCTTGCGGCTGTTTCCTGGTCCCGAAGAGCCCAAGGAGGTGCAAGAGAATGTGGATATTTCCCTGTCAGTCAAATGTGACAGTGAAAAGATGGTCGTATCTGTACAAAAAGAGTCTTTTCAGGTCAGTGCAATTTCTTAAAGGAGAGAAGAGAAAGCCACCTCCCTCCCCATCTTGCCCCAGTATGTGTTAGTTATTTCCCTCTAGCTCTTTCACTTTTGAACTCTGGGGACCTGATACTGTTTTCTCAGTTGGATGGGCTTACTTCCCCTTGGCTGTGTTTCTTACCCGGGTCCTGTTATTCTCAGTTAAAGGGGGTTCCAGATCCTTGTGTGTCAATATTTTGCTATTGAATTTCCAAGGCCAACAAACACAATCCTTGGTAGGCTGGGAAGAGGTAAGGGGGGAGGGGGAATGCAGGCCTCCAGCAACCAATACCATATGGGAAGACCAGGCAAAACACGTTCCTTGTGTGCTGCAGAACTGCCTGTGGGCCCTTCCTTATGTCTTTGGTGGTGGTTGTTTCAGGCCAACAACTACTCGGGGATGGAGCTCACTCTGTTGGATCCTACCTGCAAGGCCAAGATGAATGGCACCCACTTCATTTTGGAGTCTCCCTTGAGTGGCTGTGGTACTTGGCACCGGCGGTCAGCCCCGGATGGAGTGATTTATTATAACTCTGTAAGTGTTCCCCAAAACAAAGCTTGGCCCTTTGCCAGATCCTTTCCGGGTGTTTCCTTAAAATTAGCCTTAAAATTTCTGTGAAAATGTGCAGGGGCATATACCCTAGGCCTAAAAAAGCCAAGTGTCAGTTCTCAACAAATTGGGTGTCCTTTGACCTTGAGTCTACACAGCTGAGCTAGCCAGCTCCATGGTCTCTGTGGCCTCATTTCAGTCTTGTTCAGAGGTAGGAGGACTTCTCCCTTCCTCGTGAACAAAATAATCAAGAGAAATCCAAAAATGGCCCTCAAGAAATTATTATTAAGTCTCTCTCCAACTTGAAGAAAAGAGATTAAATTGAAAAAAATCCCCTACTTTTGAAGTTCCCCAGAGGAAGATTCCACAGATTCCCCCAATGATTATCCACTATAGTAGCTATCCTGCACTTTTCAGAAATCATTCTTGTCAGTTCATTCATCTGAATCTTTTTTTTTTTTTTTCAGATGAAGCCTATTCTTGCAGAAATAGACACTGGGTAGTAAATATTAAAAGAATTTGAAACACGAAATTTCAAAAGAACTTTATAGTATTAATTTTGCAGTTCAGGTTATACTTTTGATGGTAAAAATAAGGCTCAAAAACCCGTGTCTGGCTTTGACATGATGTGTGTGTCTATGCTCCCAGCACCTACTCCAGCTTTGCCACGGGTGGGGAGGGCATGACTCTCATTCACGTTCGTCCCACTGCCCTTTGGTAGATACCCTTGACCCATCCAGAGGAAAGACTGGAGATCAGGTGCTCTGTCACTGTGGCTCATGTGGGGACTGACTCTATGGGCCCAAGTTTATTATTCTTCAGACTTAGAGTGTTTGAGCTGGAAAGAACCTTAAGATGATCTCATTCAACTTCCTCATTTCACAGGTGAGGAATTTGAACTCCCGGGAGTTAAGAGACTTGCTTAGATTTGAGGAACTAGTTAACGGCAGAGCCAGGACTGAATCCAGCTTCCTGACCTCTCATCCACTAATCTTTCCCTGACACAAGGCTGGCCCAACTAATCTCCCTTTGTTCCTGGAATAATTTATTAACCTTTGACCTCTATGATGAACACACCCCTGCCAATTCCAACATTAATTTTTGTATATTACCCAGTTTTTCCAGATATAATGAATAGCATATAGTACTGATATACTTGATTTTGGAATTTTAAATTTACGTCTAAATTAACACCAATAAGAGGCTCTGGTTATCTGTTAAGTAAAAATAATACCATTTTCCTCAGAAGAAAAAGGTATATCCCAAGCCCTTAAAATCTCTTTCTTCTCGTGTGTGCGCCTGTGTGTGTGTCTGTGTATGTGTCTGTGTGTGTATTTGTGTGTATATTATGATGATAATACCTAGGGTAAGAAATGTCCTAGGTACTTGCTTCAGGTACATCAGTACTTTCTTGTGAGGAACCGGTAAATGGAGAGGTGGTTTTTCTACATTCTCTTCCCTTTAGTGAATATTTTAGGTGTTCGTTCCAGTGATAACTATTTGTAGCAATTTCCAGACTTACTATATACTTTTGTTTTGCAACATATTCAGAAATTAGGCACACGACACGAAATCAGACCAAAAAATATGACTATTCTATATACACAAAAAAATTAGGATTTTATTTATGGAGTCACAGTCCTCAGGTGAATTTTTCATGTTATTTAGAACTAACCTAGGAATAATCATCTCAACTAACATTTGGATAGACTATCATAGAATAAAACAGGATTCTTTCCTCCATCTGTATACCATACAGAAAGATACGGGGGAGGAAATGAGGAAAAGGTAGAGGAGTACAGAGATAAGATGAGGAGAGGCTGGCATAATAGTAAACATTAGGTACTTTGTTTCCAACTCAAACTTGATAGAAATCTCAATGGATACAAATTAGCCAGCTCTTAATATTTCTTAGAATTTTTGATGTAAAGAGAAGCCCCTTAAGGAGAAGGCCCCTTCCCCTACAGGCTGGCCTGCTGACAACCCCATTCAACCTAGTGCCTAGTGTTTTCCTACTGTTTGAAACAAGTTTTATTCTTTCACCAGGAAAGATGCATACTTTAGTCAAGTTTTAATTTGAATGTACTTTGGGTTCCTCTTTATTTTTATCTCTTTGAAGATAAAATCCTGAAACACTTGGAGGTTTTTCTTATTTTTATTTTGAGAGAGAGAGATGGGGGGCGCAAGTGAGCAAGGCCAAAGAGGAAGAAAATCCTATGAGGAGCAGAGAGAGAGAGAGAGAGAGAGAGAGAGAAGTGGGGCTCACCTGGGGCTCATGTTTTTACCCAAAGCAGGGTTCATGTTCACCCCATGTAGGACTCAGACTCACCAACTGTGAGATCATGACCTGAGCCAAAGTCAGATGCTTGATGACGGAGCCACGGAGCCATGACCCAGCCGCCACTCAGGAGCCCTGTTTTGTTTTAAGTCAGGTTTTCAGTTTGCATCTGAATTATTACATTGGTGTTGGTGTGAGATAGAACCAGATCATGTGACTGGGTGTTTCAATGACCATGTCTGCGCTTTCTTTGCCTTTTAGATTGTGATGCAGGTTCCATCACCTGGGGATAGTAGTGGCTGGCTAGATGGTTATGAAGATCTGGAGTCAGGTGATCATGGATTTCCGGGGGATATGGATGAAGGAGACACTTCCTTCTTCAGCCGGCCTGAAATTGTGGTGGTATGTGTTTGTTTATAGTAGGTAGTTTGTGAGAATGTTTTCCTTTTGGTCGCCTTTAATTAGGGACTGTTGGGAGTGGGGGGCAGGGATTAGATGTTAAAGGCCAAAGGTTATAAAGGTCTAGGGTGTTCATCCTTCATTTGACTCTGATTTATCTCTGTTTTGTTTGTTTGTTTTCACTAGTTTAACTGCAGCCTGCGGCGAGTGAGGAATCACAGCGGCTTCCAGGACCCACTCCACAGGAATGTCACTTTCAACATGGAGCTCTATAACACTGACCTCTTTCTCGTGCCCTCTCAGGGGGTCTTCTCTGTGGCAGAGAACGGACACATTTATGTTGAGGTATGCTAGTTATGAACATTAACTAGCCTTGGGATAACTAGGTATGCTAGTTATGAACATTAACTAGCCTTGGGCTTTTAGGCCAGGGCTGAATTATAGTAGCTCCTGGGGCAGACCTCATCGTGTTCTTCCCCACATCCCTTAACCAGTTCTGGGTAAGGGCTTGGCTCAGAAAATGCATCCAGGTTGATTTCTTTCTTTTTTTCATATTTATTTATTTTTGAGAGAGAGAGAGAGACAGAGACAGAACATGAGCAGGGGGAGGAGCAGAATGAGAGGGAGACACAGAATCCAAAGCAGGCTCCAGGCTCTGAGCTGTCAGCACAGAGCCCAACGCGGGGCCCGAACTCATGAGCTGTGAAATCATGACCAGGGCCAAAGTCAGATGTTTAACCAACTGAGTCACCCAGGCGCCCTGCATCCAGGTTGATTTCTGACCAAAGCAAGACATTTTAGGATTTGCTACATGGAGAGAGTGTTTTACAGATGAATGTTTTTTTTTGTTGTTTTTGTTTTTGTTTTTTTAATCAGCAGTGTGAATTTTAATAAAGTCCTGTTCTTGCTTTGTCCTTAGTATTTTTGGAACAGGAGTTCAGTATTTGCACTGTTAGAGTTAACCAGGAAGATTTCACACCACCTCTTTTTTTTTTTTTTTTAATTGTTTTAATGTTTATTTATTTTTGAGAGAGAGAGAGAGACAGAGTGTGAACAGGAGAGGAGCAGAGAGAGAGAGAGAGAGAGAGAGAGAAACACAGAATCCGAAGCAGCCTCCAGGCTCCAGGTGTTAGCACAGAGCCTGACGCAGGGCTCAAACCCACAAACTGCAAGATCATGACCTGAGCTGAAGTTGGATGCTTAACCAACTGAGCCACCCAGACGCCCCTCACATCACCTCTTATATTATCTTTTAAATTGAACACACCTCAGTGAAATGCTGTGCGCTTCCATATCTCATGAAAATTGGGTTTTTTTAGATCATTATCTAAATGTGTCTATAAATGTATGAAACTATTTTGTATACATAATGGTAATTATTATGTATAGCATATATCTGTGGAATAACTATGAAAATATTAGGTAGTGGTGGGAATAATGAAATAATAACAGCTAACATTGCAGATTTATTTTGTGCCAAACTCAGGTTATAAGTGTTATAGTAATTGACTCTTCAAAGCAGTCTGATGAGACAAGACTACTGATATCCCCATTTTAGGGATGAGGAAATTAAGGTACAAACTTGTCTACAATCACATAGTTAGTAACTAATGAGCTCAGAGTAGGGTTCATACTCAGGTTGTCTGGCTCCAGAGCCCATAATGTTATCTACTAGATGCTACTATCATTTATCCTCAAAGGGTCACTTAAAGGGGAAGAAAATGTAACCCTCTCACCAGTGCAAATATCCAGGTTCATGGATTAGATTCTAGAAAAAGATAAATATCTCTATGGCCTCAGAACACCTGTTGGTCTTACAAGAACATCATCCTCTGATGAGCTAGTTTTGGTGCTAAACTGCAAGCTGGTGTTCTGCTTCACTGTGGGAGGATTGAGAAGCTTACAGGGTGGAAATGGGGTACTTCGACACATTGAAAGTGACTTCAGAGCACATATTTCTATTTCAGAAAGACAAAGAACTCTCACCTTTGTCCTCATTCTGGGATGGAGCCCACTGGCTCTAGACGTTTTCCTGGATCTCTCCTCCTTTTTCATTCCTTATTCTGAGAGGTCTTCTCTTTTTGGGGGGTATACCTTTTTTCTCCACTGGGGAAAATATACTGCTTTCTACATGCTGTTCCTAATTATAGATCTCTTCTTATCCAAGATCATTTTTTTCTTCTTGCGTTTCTGCCTGCATAGTCCACATGCGCAGTTGGTCAGTGACCCTCTGCTGTGCCCTGGATTTTAGGGGCCCTGCTTAACTGCAGTTTGTTCTTTTTCAAACGTGTGCCTGCTCTGCTGACCTACGGCTTTGCTGCCATATACTCATCAGTGGCCAGTCTTCCTCCTGTATCCTACCCTGGGCCTTTTGGTTTTTCTCCCCAGTCCACCTAATGCTGGCTTACTTGAAATGCTTTTTTTTTCTTACTTTCACATTTATATCTTTTCATATACTGACTATATTTTCATCCTCTTTTAAAAAAAATTTTTAAGTTTGTTTATGAGAGAGAGATGGAAGGAGAGAGAGAGAGAGAGAGAGAGAGAGAGAGAACAAGTGGGGGAAGGGCAGAGAGAATCTGAAGCAGCTCCAGGCTCTGGGCTGTCAGCACAGATCCCGACACGGGGCTCAAATTCGTAAACCCTGAGATCATGACCTGAGCTGAAGTTGGATGCTGAACTGATTCGACACCAGGCGGGCGCTCCTCCTTCCTCCTCCTCCTCTCCTCCTCTCCTTCCTTCCTCCTTCCTTCCTTCCTTCTTTCTTTTCTTTCTTTCTTTCTTTTCTTTTCTTCTTTCTTTCTTTCTTTCTTTTAAATTTGAGTTAGTTGACATACAGTGTAGTCTTGGCTTCAGAAGTAGAACCCAGTGATCCATCTCTTATATGTAACACCCAGTGCTCATCCTAACAAGTGCCCTCCTTATGCCCACCACCCATTTAACCCATCCCTCTACCCACCTCCCCTCCAGCAGCCCTCAGTTTGTTCTCTGTATTTAAGAGTCTCTTATGGTTTGTCTCCCTCTCTGCTTTTACCTTATTTTTCCTTCCCTTCCCCTGTGTTCATCTGTTAAGTTTCTCAAATTCCTCATATGGGTGAAATCATATGATCTCTTTCTCTGACAGAGTTACTTTGCTTAGCATAATACACTCTGGTTCCATCCACATTGTTGCAAATGGCAAGATTTCATTCTTTTTCTCTGAGTAGTATTCCATTGAGTGTGTGTGTGTGTGTGTGTATACTGAGTGTGTGTGTGTGTGTGTGTGTATACAAGGTACCACATCTTCTTTGTCCATTCATAAGTCTGTGGACATTTGGACTTTTGCATAATTTGGCTATTGTTGATAGCACTGCTTAAACATTAGGGTACATGTGCCCCTTCGACTCAGCAAATGACAGCTTTTCTGTTAGTTCATTTTTCTTGGGGGCATTAAAAAGAACTATTTACAACCTCCAAATTTTACATCTAGAATAGAACTACTAATTATAGCTGGCATTTATTGAGTAGCTGAGAACTCGTGTTTGTGTGTAATTGTGACTTTACACATGCTCACAATAACTGTTTCTGGTAGGTATTGGTGCCCTTATTCTGTGTGGGAAGAAACTGAGACTCAGAGTTCACAGGGCACAAGTCACAGAGCACACAATTTCCTGAGGCTCATCTGCTCATCTCCCTCCAAGGCCTGTAGTCCTTCTACCACTCATTTCCAGGCCATTGTAGAGTAAAAGACTTACTGACCATAGTTTTTCCTCCAAAACAACTTTTTGGGATACCTGAGACTTTCTGCTACTATGTACTTTCTTTGAGATTAGATAAAAGATTTGCATTTCTTCTTCTGTCTACATTTTTGCATTGTGGGTTCTGACTTCATGTTAAAGGCCACTTTTTAGTAATAGGATATATGTAATTTTCCATCTTTCCAAGATATCTTATTTTTTAGAAATATTGCCAAAACAATGATCTGTGAATATTTATAGACTACCAAACGCTATTTCCTAGAAAGATTTCTGACTAGGTGATTTCCCAAGGCCACATCTTGGGTTTGGTTGAATTGACCCTGTGGCTACCATGAAGTACTTTAGAGAAAATGGACTTGAGGTCAGAAGGCCTGGGTTTTAAGCCCTGGTTTTATCCAGCGCTTGCAAAGTGGGGTTTTGAATGAGTCATCCATCCTGGATGCTGTTTCTCCTCCATTTATAAAATGGAGATGAAAATATTTATCTCACAAGATTGTTCAGAGGGATTGAGCTTTAAGGCCCAACAAAGTGACATGATCACAATCATCTTCACTGTTGAGTGTCTTGTAGTTAGCCACGTAGGGATATTTCAAAATAGTGCTGTGCCCTATGCGATGTCAGGGATTTCCCCTGGGTTCCCAGAATGGAAAGTGCGTTTATATCTCCACGCCTTTTGAAAGGATTCTGGGGCTATTGGCTTATGATTAAGGACTAACTTTATTTCTAAAGTGTTTAAGTTTATTTTGACCCTAAGTTTAGTAAAGGAATGAGGCATGAGGGGAAAGGCAGTTCACACAGTATCCATGTGTCACCAAATGGAGAATCCACTCTGGTCCGAGGATTTTAGCTGAGTTCAGGATAGTTGAGGTTTGAATTCTGTTTACACTTGGCCAAACACCACTTCCTGTTTCTAAAGAAAAGAACCTTAACAAGGTTTGGACGTAGCCCATACAAATGTTTTGTAAGAGGGAAGTATAATGAGTTGGAAACGTTTCCAGATTAGATTTCCCTTAAAATACCCTTGGGCTTAAAGAGCGAAGGGAGAGTACTTGGCAAGGCCTATTTTGGACCTGTGAGCAGCTAGGACACTTTGCCAGGCTCGTGATCGCCACCAGATTGCACGGTTCCTGACACCAAACTGGGCCAGCTCTGCCTGCTCACTAGGAAGCAGGACTTTAGATGAATCTGTAGCTTTATTGCAATGTTTTAGGCTCATTCTGACTTGCTGCAGTTTAGAAGTTCAGTCCTCTCTGCCTAGGTTAAATAGATTTTGCTCTGTACCTTATTTTTGAGCAATTTCAAAAAATAGCTTGCGCTACAGGTGGTATGCTACTAAGACATGATACAGTATTATGACATCAGGGATTTTGCCTGTTGGTGTTTGTTTATTTTGGAAAATCCATTTTAGGTGCGCGCTGTGCTTTTATTTTTATTTCCTAGAGGACTTAGGGGAGGTTGACAAGATTTATTCATCTTGTGTTGGAATCTTCCAGACTGACATTGGAACCAAATAATTCACCATAATCATCCATATCAAGTTTAAATGGGAGACATCTTTTTTCAATGAGTATATATTACTTTTGTAATTAGAAAGAAGACTGTATAAGTACACTATGAAAATAAAGCAGGGTCCCTCATCAGAAGCGCTATGTTGATATGTTACCCTTGTGTAATAGAGTAAAAGAGAGATGCCAACTTGCTTCTGATTGGTCTTTCTGTTCTTTTGTAGGTGTCTGTTACTAAGGCTGACCAAGAATTGGGCTTTGCCATCCAAACGTGCTTTATCTCTCCATATTCAAACCCGGATAGGATGTCTGATTACACTATCATTGAAAACATTTGTCCTAAAGATGAATCTGTGAAATTCTACAATCCAAAGAGGGTGCACTTTCCTATTCCCCAAGCTGAGATGGATAAGAAGCGATTCAGCTTTGTGTTTAAGTCCATTTTCAACACCTCACTGCTCTTTCTACAGTGTGAGCTCACGCTGTGTACCAAGAAGGAAAAGGACCCCCAGAAGTTACCTAAGGTGAGTAGGCCTTCATCCATCTGTATGCTATTTCGACATTTTTAGGTGAGGCAGTGACCTACCGGAGAAGTTTAATCACGAGTTATTGCAGGTTGAGGTTTTTGGTTTGGGAACTGCCCAACTGAAGTAATAAAATCTGTGTTAGCAGGGAACCGTGAGTTTTATGGAGTCTTAGAGAATAAATCCTGACAGTATGACTTTTTTTTTCCATGCAAGCTACTTAGTAGTATCTTATAAATGATAAATCAAGACTGTTTTCCATTGAGGGAGAGGTCTGGCTTTATCTTTGCTATTCAGATAGCGTGCAGTGCCAAAGTACAGAGCCGAAAGGACAAGTTCAATGTGAGGATTAATTTTTCCAGGTCCCGCTGAGACTTGTATTGCAATTGTTTTTTGACCTTCTCTGTGTGAATTATAAGGTTGACTTGTCTCAAGAGAACCTCTAAGGGAAACTAACAAATATTTTAATTTTTCTCAGCTTCATACTGGTTCATCATGTTTACCTTATGTCACTCCCCATATTGAACCAGGACATTCTGTTGCCACAACAGACATCAGAACACTTTGACCTTGTTGGAATGGCTGCGTAGGGGGGATCTGCAAGGTTAATTACAAACCTTCATTAGTTGGGCCTTGTGCAAGAAGGGTGTCTCTGCCACAGTTTTGTTTCTGTGATCTTCCATAGTTATGTATAATTCCTTACATGCATTTCATCTGTAGAAATCTCGCACAGTGTCAGCTGACTTATAAAACTTTTGTAGTCACATATAAATCAGTGTCTAAAACTAATAATTGATTGGTATCATTAATAGTGTATGTCTCTTAATACATAGGTTGTAAGAGGTAGATATAGAGGGAGGAGGAACAATTAAATCATTATTACTGGATAAATTACCACTGACCTGAATGCTTTACACTGTTATATTCCCCTGGGCATCCATTTCTCCGATAACATCAGAGAACATTTTATAATACATACGAAAATGTAGCAAATCTGGTCATGATCATTTGGGAGCATGAATACATAAGATGATATAGACTATGTTCTTTAGGTTGCTTTTGGAAACATTGATGCCTTAGCCTTGTGGGCATTCACCTCACAGTGGCCATTTGTGGACTTGTGGTAGAGAGGCATGGGAAAACTTAATGCTTGGCTGTGACACACAGCTGGTCCCTGCAGCTGGTGGAAGACTTGTAGAAGTTTGGGATCTAGGAGGGGAGGCCTGGCAGTTACTAGGCGTCTTTACTGAGGGCTTTGGTTATTACCTCTCGCTGAGCCTGGCCTGGCATAGTCCATAGCGTATCATTCTGTGAAAATTAATCCCAGTACTTCATTGCAGAGAATTCTAAGGAGTGACATGGGATGTGACCCTAAACCTAAAGTCTCTATTTACGCCCAAGGCAAGAGAAAGTAGAAAGAGCATGAGCACTGAGCAGGAAGGCCCACTGCTTACTAACAAGATTTTAAGCAAGTCCCCTGAGCTCTCAGAATCTGCATGGCCTCATCTATAATTGAAATAATAGTAGGGGCGCCTGGGTGGCCCAGTCAGTTGAGCGTCCAACTTTGGCTCAGGTCATGATCTCACGGTTTGTGAGTTCGAGCCCTGCGTCGGCCTCTGTGCTGACCGATCAGAGCCTGGAGCCTGCTTAGGATTCTGTGTCTCCCCCTCTCTCTACCCTTCCCTGGCTCACGCTCTGTGTCTCTCTGTTTCTCAATAATAAATAAATGTTAAAGGAAAAAAAATGAAAAAAAAAAAAGAAATAATAGTAGCTGGCTTCCCTTAGGAACAGAGGAGCAAATGAGACAGTAACAACAGTCCACCATTTATAGTGCAGTGGCTTCGGATGAACTGTTACCACTCTCCTCATGTTTACTGCTTGTAGGTAATATTTCCACAGTTCTAGCGACTTCTCAGTGCCTTCTATGATGATAGAGAGAGCCAAAGAATCTTCCTAGGAGGAGTACTCAAAGATCATTGGGTCCATCCCTGCCCTTAGCTGATGAAACTAAGGCCAGAGTTAAGTGTCTTGCCCAGGGTCGAGCCGTGAGTTGGACGTAGAATCGTAGACTCTTACTTATCTGAAGAAATAGCAGCAAAGTAAGAAGGCTTTTCCTAACATGCAGATCTTTTCAACAATGAGGCCTTTCCACAGAAAAATCTGTTGTTTCCCTTTATAAGGAGGCTATTGTAAAGGCTTCCTCTGGGTTTTGGGGGAAGGGAAGGAGTTATTTTCTTATAATATGCTGTTCAGAGCAGCAATGACAATAGAGCCAAAAGGCTTTGCTCTTTTGTGATTGGAAGAGCTGGAAGTTCATTAGCTTTTAGGGATGGCTTGCTATAGACTTCTTAAAGGGTTGATATACTTCTTACAACAAAAACAAGTAGATGCCATGTACATCAGAGTTTTACCTATTGATAAGCATAGACAAGGAACTGAAGATGTTTTAAAGAAAAAGGTACTAGAATGTGAGTACACTTTTTAAAAACAGATATAACAGGCTTGGGCATGCTAATCCTAAATTCGGGGCCTTAAAATGACTGTAAACAGCTAATCTCATGGTCTCCACACCTGGCTACAACTCCCCAGGACTCCAGTGTGGAACACTATAGCAGGTGACCCTGGTCACCTATACCATTTTGAACGAGCCTATACCAGGATTTTAAAAAATCAAACAAATTTGACAACATTATTATCTTTTTGGACAACAGATGTAAAATCTGTCACTTTCATAATGCTGTGCATGAAGTTTCCCACAATCACAAGTCACAAATATGAACCATTTATGTGAAGCCAGCTTGGTGAAGGGCCAACATTCGTCATACAGTTTTTTTTTTTTTTAATTATTTTTCAGACTAAATAACACATAAACCTCTAGTTGTTTTGTGGGAAGATGGGGGGAAAAGGCAATGTTTATAAGCCATCCAGTGATATTTGAATCTTCAAGTGCAGCTGAGAATATCCTGGGTCTGCCACTATATCTCCCAGATTATTTATGGTTCTTTGGAAAACGCCCAAATCTCCTGTTTTTCTCTGGTAAACAGCTGTGAGCTGTCTGATAAGGGGCACTGGCCAACTGTGCAGGCTGAGTTGGTGCAGGCTCTTCGGGGTGACCCCTGACCCTGCTTTGCTATCTCTGCCTCTCTGCAGTGTGTGCCTCCAGATGAAGCCTGCACCTCGCTGGACGCCTCAATGATCTGGGCCATGATGCAGACTAAGAAGACCTTCACCAAGCCCCTTGCTGTGATCCACCAGCAAGAAGAAGTTAAAGGTGCGTTTTGGAAGGCTCGCTCAGAGCCTGGGGGTTGCCCATTTTAAGAAGTTCTAGTACTAGACCCCTAGGATGAGCCTGGGTAGCTCAGTTGGCTGAGCATCCAACTTTAGCTCAGGTCATGATCTCACAGTTCACGAGTTTGAGCCCCACATTGGGCTCTGTGCTGACAGCTCAGAGCCCACTTTGGATTCTCTGCCCCTCTCCTGCTCATGCTCTTTCTCTGAAAACTAAGTAAACATTAAAAAAAAAAAAAAAAGCTCCAATACTAAAAAAAATACAAAAGAAGCAGCAACAGCTCCAATACTGTAAATCAAAGTACCTTTGTATTCAAAAGATAAATTAAGGGCCAATTAGTAACTTTAGAAGGAGTTTTGCCAAAAGAGCCTTTTATTTAGTTAGGTCTGCTCTGACATGTGGCTGAGTTATTAGTGATGTGATTGCCAATGATTTCCTCTTTAATATTATATCAGAGTCAAAGTTGTCCCTATCCCAATGTCACTCTCCCTTGCCATTCAAATATGATCCCTTGAGTATGCAAGAAAGGCTCCAAGTTCCTCCTGGCATGCCTGGATTGAGCAGCCCACAGCCCATCTTTCTGTGGTCTACTACCAGTGATTCTGCTGAGTACAAGCAGTCCCAGGGCTGTATCAGGATCGCAGATGCCTTTGGGGAGAGTGTTAGGTATATGAACACCATTCATCTTAGGTCAGAGCAGAAAGAAGGTTAAGAACCACTGTCCAAATGCATTTTTATAATTCAGGTTTCAGAATGTTACCCAGGCACGTTTGTTGCTTGAAGCCAAGGGTGCCTCTTCTTGCACACCCAGGAGCATCAGCAGTCTGCATCTTCTTGTGGGAGAAAAGGAAGGACGTGCCCTAAGAGGTGTGGCCTCAGGTAGACAGGCAAGGCAAAGCCAAACATGGTGTAGGCCAAGTCAGCCATACCAGCGGAGAAACCGAGCTGGGCTCCATGGAGATGTTAGGAATGGACATGAGGTCCTGTGGACTGTGGAGAGCATCTGATGGGGACGGGCATCACAGCCGAGGGGCATGGACAAACAAGAACACATCAGGCAGCTGGCAACATCTGAGGGGGTGGAGCCAAATACACATGGGCTATTTGGGCAGCTACATTTGTCACTGTCTAGAAACAACCTATGACTATCTGGAAACATTGTCTAGGGGTGCCAAACAAAGAGAAGTCTGAGAGTGAAAGTGGATTCCTAGCTTCTGGGGTTAGCTATTTCAGGGCTAGGTCCCATGCCACCTTCCACCACCAAGGGACAGAGAGGAGCTTGGCACTGGAGCCTTGATAGAAGCCAGCAAGCATACTGTCTCCTCTTGGTGAGCATTTGCTAGGAGGCCTGCCAGGTGGAGCTGACACCTGATGTAGGCTTGGGGGCAGCGCTGGGATGGCATTTCTGATGTAAGCATTGTTGGATTTGGCAAGACAAGGCAGTGGGGGCTAAGAGGATAGGCGCACAGGACCTAATAGAATAGAGGCATGTGGATGTGTCTACTTTCTTGTTTGGTTGAGTGACTTCTGTGAAAAGAGCCATTCTTACTGACGTATCTGTATGTCATTTGCCCTCTTCCTACTGCTCACTTTGGAAAGGCAGGAGATACAGTGAGGAGGGCACTGGCTTAGAGTCAGGAGGCTGGGGCACAACTTAACTTTACCTGTTGTACTGTTTGAAGAAGGAAACTAGGTTTTAATTCATTGCCCAGCCATTCTGAAGGTGGTGCAAAATGGACATACTAGATGTTTATTGGTTCCTTATTAACACTTTTTGTTGTTGTTTTACTCTCACTGATTGGTTTTCAACAATTTGAAACCGTGTAATAGCCACAGTCTTTCTGTAAATGGATTGCCCGAATAGTTCCCTGTTTTGGGGGACCAGGGGAAAGAAATAAGTTAATTGTGTTGCGAAGTATATCACAGTTGGGCAACATCTGGCTCATTTTGTACTTTTGTGAGTGGTTTAACAATAACAGCAGCCACTTGTATTCCATTTGTTACTCTTACCTTTTTTGAGAGAGGTAGTTCCGCTCATAATTGAAGGCAGCCGCTTGCTTTTTTCTATGCCAAAGAATAATTAGGCATTAATACACAGCAGTATAACTTCCAGTAATTCATTCATGCTTCTTTTAAGTTTGGTGGTATTTTTCTAAGTAATTCCTCTTGCAAATTAGGTAATTACTTTTGTTTAAACTTAGTGTAATTATCCTGAAAGTTCAGTGTTGTTTTTTTTACATGAAAGTTCAAGAGGAAAATTTTACCAAATATCAAAGCAGTTTCATGAGATTCGCTGATTGAGACTAGATTTTAGCGGAGAAGCTTGTGGTGAAGAAAGTTGATTGCTTAGGGTTGTTAAACAAATGCAGGTTAGACTATCAGCCAGCTTCCCTTGGGCTGTGTGCAAATAGGCTTTCTAACTTTGCACTGAATGGCAGTTCTGGCAGTTTTCAGCTCTCTGAGTGACTCCTCCCACCCTTCATGTTTATTTTCTTTTGATTCTGAAATCATTTCTTCATGATGCAGGCCATTGGAGTCTGTGTTTTCCCTCTGCCTCTCAGTAAATTGGAATAATCAGTTGAAATGGGGATGTGACCATTTGCCTAATAGCATTAGGTTATTTGAATAATAACTGGGTCATCATGAACAGTCTTTCTGCCAGCTTTGTGTGTTACTTTTGTAAGCCACAGAACCTGTAGTATCCCAGGAGTATCTCTTACTGGAACGAATTTGGGGGTAAAAATTACCCAACCAATGAGATGTTTGACTGCCTTTTTAGCCACACAGGTGCTCTTTGAAGGCCGTGCTGAAGTTCCAGGTCTCCCTGGTCATTGGTGCATCTTATTTCTCCACACTGGATTTTCTGGGGCAGCAGCAGATAAAGGCTCAGGTTATCAGCTTCTCAGCCAAGCAGAGAGCTGGTCTGTACTCCCAGTGCTAATGGCCTGGTCATATTTCAGGTGGTGTTTCTTCCTCCTATGGACACAGAGAACAGGCCGCCAAAACTAAATAATTCTGGGTCCCTCCTCTGGGCCACTGTTTTTTTTTTGTTTGTTTGTTTTTGTTTTTCAATTTATGTATTTACTTTGAGAGAGAGAGAGCGCGCGCGCGCGCACATGCATGAGGGAGAGGCAGAGGGAGAGGGAGAGAGAGAAAATCCCAAGCAGACTCTGCACTGTCAGCACAAGAGCCCTACTCAGGGCTCGAACTCACAAACCGTGAGATCATGACCTGAGCCAAAGTCCAGAGTTGGACGCTTAACCCACTGAGCCACCTAGGTGCCCCTGGGCTGCTATTTTTAATGGAATATGCCTGAGCTTCCACAGCACATAATCACCACCTTAGTCCCTTGGGAGCTAGCTTTGGGTTAGCATTATTTTGCTGCTAAAACTTTCAACAGATGATTGTGCTGGTGGTGATGATAGTCATGGAGATGATAATGATTATCTAACATTTACGGGGCATTTGCTTACTACAGGGCTCTGTGCTGAATGCTTCATGTGGGTAATCGTATTTAATCATCATAGCCCCTCTGGGAGGCAAGTATAGAGCAATATTAGATAACCTGACATAAATAAATGGTGGGTCCGAGATTCAAATCCAGGCACTTTGATTCCAGGGCTTGTGTTCTGTAAACCCTATGCCTTATCCTAGGTAGAGGTTGATTCTAGGTTTTAATAAAAACTACAAGCAACATAGGTATCTATCTCCTCACACCCTTTTCACACCCCTTCTCCTATTCATGCCATTTCACACTGGCATTCAAGTTCATACTCAAATACTCTAATGATTGTGAACTGAAAAGATGAAGAATTTTAGGAAAAAAATCTGTTCCCCAAAGGGTAAGATGTTGGGACACATGTAAGCCGTTTAAGAGAGTATTAAAATTGAGAAGTTCTGTGACTCTGAATTGTAACTCACAAAAAAGCCCAGAAAACATGAATAGTCGATGCGTATTATGGTTTATGGCAAAACAATTAAAATAGTTGAGGTAGTGCCATCCTACCATATTTTCTGAAATATTTTGAAGTATAGGCACGTTAGTGCTGTTTGCTTTGGATGCTGTGACCATTTTTGTGGCATTTGAGAACACACTAGGGCTTGCACAATAAAAATGGCTCTACCACAGCAGTGATGATTTTTGAAAATGGTGAAAGGGAAGATAATCATTTGTCTGAAATTTAGGGCACATATAAAAAAAATGAGTGAGAAAGAACAATAAACATCACCCCCAAGTTTGCCATGATTTATATACAATATGTAATTTTTAGCAAGTTAAATATTCAAAATACTGAATTTCCACTACATAACTTTTTAAAAATAAGTGTGCTCAGGACAGCACCTGGCATATCATGGGCACTTGGTAAATGTTAATTTCCTTTCCTTCCTCTTAACCTCTCAGCCAAACTGGGTTTTTGTGGGGAGTAGGGGTGGAAGGGGAATGAAAGGGAAAGCTGTAAACGTCAATTGGAAGTTAATCCAAGAGAGGCGTTACTTTTTGGAACATACTTGATTTTTCCAGAACAAAAATACTCTAAAGCACCCAGCCGGGTTTTGTCCTCAGGCTGAAGTAGAGATGAGGGGAAGCTGAGTAGAAAGATGGTAGAAATGCTTAACTGACAGACCAAGACATTCAGTCTTTATCCAGTAAGGGACAGAGGTATCTAGGGACTTTTTACTTTGGAAAATTTTAAATATATACGAGAGTAGGATAGGATAGGATAGGATAGGATAGGATAGGATAGGATAGGATAGGATAGGATAGGAGAATGAACTACTATGTATCCTCCGTGTAGTTTCAGCAGCTGCCAATTTATGGCCAAACTTGTTTTACCACTTTCTGTCCCTGGATTGTTTTGAAGGAAATCCAGACATTTCATGTCATCCATAAATATTCCAGCATGCACCTCTAAAATTTAAGAACCGTCGAAAAGATTGGGGTATCTGGCTGGCTCAGTTGGTGGAGCATGTCACTCTTGACC